GTCCAGGAAACAGTTGCCTGTACTATGACTGCTGTACGAGATATTATGGAAGCTTTTTTATTTTTCAACTGTAATGCACAACATGTAGGAAGAAATGTGAAGATATTAAACATTGTTCTTCCTTAACTTTAAGGATGTGAATTTAAGTCATACATGAAGTAGATATCAGCTGTGTTCTGCCTTAGAATTATTTTTTAATGGTCTATTACTAGTTTAAAAATTAATTCTGCCTTCTACATTATTAATTTTGTAGAAATGTGCAAAAAGACTATATAATGTGAATGTTGTTATATACATATATTCACACCTTTATTTTTTTTAATTAAAAAAATCCTTTTTATTATGGAAAATTTCAAACCTTCATTTTACCCACTTTTGGAGATTTTTATTTCTTTGTCTACATCCAAGTTTGTCTGGTATCATATTCTTGCTGCCTATAGAACTTTCTTTAACATTTTTTGTAATTCCAGTTTGCTGCTAATAAATTCTCTTAGTTTTGTTTTTTTTTTTTTTGCCTGAAGAATTCTTCAATTCTGAGAGACATTTTTTCTGGGTGTAGAATTCTGGGTTAATAGTGGTTTTTAAAAATTCAGTAATTTAAAGATGCCATTCATGGTTTCTGCTTTGCATAGTTTCTGACAAGTTTGCTTCATCTTTGTTTTTCTGTGTGTAATGTGTCTTTTCCTGCCTTTTGCTGCCATCAAGATGATCTCTTTATCTTTGATTTTCAGCAGTTTGAATATAATGTGTGTAGAGGGTGTATGTGTGTGCGTTTTGTATTAATCCTGCTTGGGATTCTCTGAGCTTCTTGGATCTTTGCTTTGATTTGTTTTGTTAGTTTTGGAAAATTCTCAGTCATTATTTCTTCTAATATTCCCTCTACCCCATTCTACCTTCTGGGATTCCAGTTACACATATGTTAGACCATTTGATATTGTCTTATAGTCCTTGGATGCTCTGTTCTGGGTTTTTTCACTTTTTTTTGCTTTGTGTTTGACTTTGGGTAATTTCTATTGACCTATCCTTGAGTGAATTAATTCTTTCCTTGGGTCTATGTAGTCTGCTGATCATACTGATCAGCCATTCTTCATCTCTGTTATCATGTTTTTACTTTCAGCATTTTATTCACTCTTTCTTGTGGTTTCCATCTTTCTGCCAGAATTTGAGGACTCAAATTTCAGAAATAGATTTTCCACTTATTTTCTCTGAATCTGTGTTTTCTCTTTTACAAAGCAGAAAAATTGGGAATATATAATAATAACCAACAGAATTGTTCTGAGGATCAAATGAGGTCCCTTGGGCAAGTTACTTCTTTCCTTTCCCTGGGTCTCAGTCGTTCTCATTGAAAGGCTTGGACCGTGTAGTTACTTTGGTCCTATTTAGTTCCTCAATTGTAAGATTCTGTGAAGGCGAAGGGACCTAACATTTATTGACAGCCTGTATTAATCTCATGTAGATTTGAGAAAGGGATAAAAATCACATTTAAAAAGTGCTTTTTCAAAACATTTTACTTTTTGCCAGGTCTATGTGGGTTTTAATTGGAAGAAATAGGCAGCATTAAATCCAGTTGCCACTTGGTTAAATCTGTTAGAGAATCATTAAAATTTTTCAAACTTTGGGTTTCCTGACTCACTTGAGAAGTTTCATGGCTCATAAAACATCTCACTCTCTCTTTCTGTGCCTATAGGATTTTAAATTATTGGGTTGGCTCCCAAATTTTGCATGTGAGAAAAAAACTAATGGAGGTTTTTGCTCTTCACTGATTAGTGCAGATCTTGATTGCACAGCTGTGACGCCTTGGGCTGATTACTTAACTTTTGATCCTGAGTTTCCCTGTCTGTGAAATAGGGATCATGCCTACATCAGATAGCTGTTCTGAAGGTAGAAGACATAATGTAGGTAAAGCTTTGGGTATACTGTCTAGTTGATAGTAACCAGTAACTGATAGCATTAAAATAGGAGCCAAAATGAAATTTGCCACCGTTAAGTCAAAGTTTCAGTAAATAGAAGGGGAAAGGCAAGTTTAATAGTCTTTTTTACTCCTTTTAGTGGAAAGGTCCACCCTAGTAAAGGGATATTTTGACAATAGGGACAGGGTTCACTGAAAAATGAGTGTTGATGAACAAGACTAATAACCAAGAATTAGTGCTTCCGCTGTGGCAGATGCTCCCACTTAATCCTGAGAACAGCCTGTGAAGGAAGCCGCCTCTCCTCTGAGAAGCCTGTCTTTATCTGGATCAGGGTGATCACCCCGCCTTTGTGTCCTTCCACTCTACTTTGTACTCTGTCACTATTTTTTCTCTGTAACACCTATCCGCTCTCCACTTGTCATCCCCACTGAAAGGTTTTCTATGTATTTGGCCTAGAAGTGGCCCACAGTAAGTTGAATTGAATTGCTGAGATGTTGAATCTTTGGGTTTTTTTCTGGTCAAGACTGAAATCCCACTTTCTTGGTGTTGTAGATGAGAATTAAAGCATTGAAAAGTGAATGTTGGGCTGAGACAAAAATACTAGGAAAATAGTTTTAATTAAAATGCTTAATCAATCTGAAGCCCCACCCCAACCCCCCCAATACACACAGTTAGAATAAATAAATATAGTATATTAAAGTAGCTGTTGATCTGGATGTTGCCTTGGAGTAAATAAATATAATGCATTTTAAAGAGCTGTCCAAATTCTGTGTTTCTAAGTAATTTTACTGTAATGGGTATTATTCAAGATTGAAGTTATTTAATACAAAGAAACATTCTTTATTCATACTGTGAGCAACTTGTCTTCCAAAATACAGACCACAATACAGGCATTCTTGTTTGAATCACACAGGGAGTAAAGTCAAATTAGGTTTGCAGTGTTTTTCTTGTCATAACAAACAATTTCACTAAGCTGCATTCCTGATCATACATTTTTCAGAGTTGGAAGGAACCTAGGAGATCTAGTCTAATTTCTTCCTACCACCCAGAGAGCTGAAGCAATTTACCTGAAGTCATACAGCTGACTAATGGCAGAGCCAGGGAAAGAGCAGAATCCTTTATCCATTTGCCACAGTATTACATTCCTCTGGAAAAAACTGCCTACTCACTCTTTGTTTTTAATGCTAGAGTCGTAGGGTAAGGTTTTTTCCGTGACTAACTAGCACTCTTGTTTTCTTGTGTGGGTGTTTGGGAGCAAGCTATCAAGGGTGGTGGTGTTTTGTTGTTGTTCTTGAACTGAACCATGGAAGGCATTTCTCTAGTTAGTGCTAAAAGGGTCAGGAAGCAGTGCTTGAAGCCCAAATTCTCTGCCCTTAGTGTTGATAGGCAGGGGTTTGAAGGGTCATTTTCTTAACCTGCGGTCTGAATTCCCTAAACTTTTATGAAAATTATGCAATTATATGCTGACCTCCTAAGAAAAGAATGTGTAGCTTTCATCAAGTTATCAAAGGATACCTAATTAAAAACTACTGTTTTTAAAGGGAGGTAAAGCCAAGCAAACCTGTTTAAGAACTAGTTACCCACCCTGACACTCTAAATACTAATTATATTATACTAGAGGGCTTCCTTATCTCCAGCTCCTTTCTGCGTGTGCCCTCCCTACTAACAAGCCGGCCCTGATGGCTTCCTGGATCTTGTCATGGAAGCCACTGGACACCCCAACCCTCTTTTTTGCACAGACGTTTCCTGTAGGTTTTCCAAGGCTCCTTTCTCTTACTTTCCAGACGACGGTGTAAGACTCAGGGATTTCTGTTCATTAGAATGCTCAGAAGTGTTATTTCAATTACATTCTGGTTTAAAGGAATTTGTAAGCTGACTTGAGAACCTAAGAGTTGCTATGAGAAAATAATGTAATTACAATTCCAATCTAATACTGTGCAAGTTAATTTTTAGAATGCCTCTAGTTCTTTAGTCAGGAAACTCTGTGTTTGATATAGAAACTCTTTACAGCTTCCAGAAACAGAATCAAAATTTATGGATGGTGGCTTAAGAGTTGCCCAGATCTGTCTATAAAAGTGTCTTAATTTAGTTTTTCCTTCCTGAATTTTATAAGACTTAGAAAAATCTACCCTCAAATAGAAATTCATTTTAATGGGCTTCCTTCCTAGAAGAGAACATATAGAAAGCAGATTCTAAATTTTTAAGTCTGACATCTGAACACACAAAGAAAAAACTAGCACTAAGATTGAAGTTGGAAGAATTTGTTCATTTGTTTATTCATTTTTATATTATTTATTTATTTATTTATTGGGAAATTGGGGGAAGGGGAACAGACAAGTTGCTGTCCTTTTTGTTCTTCAGTCTAGTTGTGGAGGACGTTGCTTCACTGGCCCAAGTTGGCACCATCATTGCGCTCTTCCCGGGCGAGGCAGATCAGTTGCTGGCTTCTGGACGGCCGCTCACAGCAGCTGCTGGCCGCTCATGCTGGCTGCTGGCTACACACAGTAGCCCATGGCAACCCACTGCAGCAGGGGCTGCCGCCACGCTGTTCGCCGGCGACCCATGGCAGCCCAGCTCCAGGTTGAGCTGTTGTTCAGCATCTTAGCTGTAGAGGGCAGTGTCACTGGCCCTCATATGTGGGATCCGAACTGGGACCCTCTGGCGTCCCAAGTCAGCTCTTAACCAACACGCCACTCGGCCGGCCCTGTTTATTCATTTTTAAAAACCCATGCTGAGTACCTATCCTAAGCCCTCGTATCTTGTTAGATGCTGGGAAACGAGAAGTGATCTCTTCCTTTGCAAAGCTCATGATCTACTGGGGACACAGCTTACCAAATCACAGTTCAGCACGCTAAGGACTACTAGAGGTACCAGAAAAGCATTGGCATCAGTCCTCTGCCTGGCCAGGAAGCTGGGTGGGAGTTGGGGTCAACTTCACAGGAAGGTGATAAATAATGAAGTTGCATCTTAAAGGTTCAGTAGAAACTTGTCAAGCAAAGAAGGGATCTAGGCATAAATTGTATGTTTGTGCTTTCTGGATTTTAATTAAATCTAACATTAAGCACTCTCTTATTTTATGTTTCCTGTTAGAGCTCCAAACGAGAATGGAAGCCACTGGAGGAACGTAGCTGCACAGACATCCCGTGGCTGCTGCTTTTTATCCTCTTCTGCATTGGGATGGTAAGGAACCTCGTACAGATGCTCAGAGCCTGAACTCATGAGATCCACGGGAATGGTGGGGAGTGGGTTTGAAGAGGGAGCTTGAGATTTTTTAATTTGTTTTTAATTCCTCCTGAATTGCTTATAAATGGAGGTCTTTGGATACCACTGAAGCTAGTTATTTTTTTGCCGTATAAGTCACTGGTACAGTTTGGTACCCCTTGATTTTTTATTTATTTATTTTTTTGTGCAGGAAAACAGATCAAACTTTAAGAAGCAATTGGAACTCTAGCTCTTTGACTAGATCATCTCAGAAAGCCAGATCATTTGACATAGATTTCTGTGAACTCGGATCTGTATGGGGTGGTGAGCAGAGCGCGCACTGGCCATGGAATCAAGAGTCTTGAGTATTTCTCCACCCCAGTTCCACAAACCTGATGGATATTTTTTGCATCAGTTTCCTCTCAGGGACTTGGTGCTCCTTTGTGTAAAATTAGAGGTTTTGCTTGCTGATGCCTACAATGCTCCCAGTTTTGACCTTTTTTAGTTCTTTTTTAGAGAAGAGGCTGGTTGCTCACTGTTTCTTCCTTCCTCTACCCACACTAGGCTCCTGCCGCCTGCTGTGTTTTCTGTATCAGTGGCATCTCTTAGCTGAGATCAAGGGACCTGCTGATTTCCTAGTGGTTGGAGGAGCCAAGTCCCTGGTGCAAGGTGTTGGGGGTGTCCCCCAAACTGTGTACCCACTCTGCCCTTCAGGAGTTTCTGACACAGGTTTCAGGGACTTGAGAGTCACTGCCTGTATGCAGGGCTGGAAAAAATGAAAACAGCTGTTTTGGAACTAGCTGATGTTTAGAGCTAGGAAAGACTTGGAACTCCTCACCTGGTCCATCAGCCTCATTTTGCAGATTAAAAACATCAGACCCAGAGGTATCCATCCCAAGGCCACACTCCTAATTCATGGCAGAGCTGGAAACAGCCCCCGCCTCCTAACTCCCAGGCCAGTGCTCTTTCTGCCACCTTGTTTCCTCTTCCTTAGGAGGCCTGTGCAGACAGCGTTGCTCTCTTTCATAGTCTTTACAGCGCAACGTGATTATGCCACCTCAGCAGCCATTTTTTCACTTATGTGCCAGTATTTTTAGCCCCTCCTTTCCCCATACTTTTTATAGAGGTTCTTTAGGAAAATCTGATTCTGTGTCTGCAGCTGCTCACCTTGCAAATGCCATTTGAGAATCACAGAACAACCCTAATCGTGGCTAACAGGCATAATTGAAGGTATCACTTCTGCCCCTGAACCAAGGAAGAGAAAGCAGTACATTTTAATGAGATATAACAAATCCAGTCAAATAAGGAGCGTTAATTTTAAAGATAATAGCTCAGTTTCAGCAAACTTACACTATTTAGAAAAGTCAAAATATACATTTCCTAACTTAGGACTTCTAAGATAGTGTTTAAAAGTCTACTTAGTTTATTGGAGTGGCAAGAGAAATGCAGTGAACACTAATATACAGGTAGAGTGTGGAAAAGAGTCTTTGCTAACAGAATTAGCCCACAACCTCTCCCACCCCCTGAATGTAATCCCGGGAGGAATACCAGCTGACCTTTCTAAATTCTGTTTATAAAAACATGTCCCTGCCACCCAAGGCGCTTGTGATATTCTGTGCTAAAACAGCTCAGGAAAGTGCAATCAGTAATGTTAATAGGCTGACTTGGGAGTCACTTGAGAGTAAGGAGCTATGTGTTTTCTGAAATGTTTTAATGCAAGTGGTTAATTAATATAATGTTGATTTTAGTGCAGTGATAATTAAGACCCACTGTGTGTACTTTTAAATGCAGGCATAACATTATTTGTTTTGGAATGATTCTTTTAATGGATTACCTTCATGGAGTTGAGCTAACATCAACTTTTGCGATGTGGAAACTGGGCAAATCACACAGTTCTGTTGCCAACCCGAGTGGCACAACAGTAGTTCAAAGTTCGTCTTCTGGGTATTTATTTTATATGTTTTTTGTGTTTTTTTTTTAACCCTTTGGATTTCATTGTTAATACTTTAAAGAGAAACAGTCAACAAGTATTTGTTGGACATTAACATTTGCCTGCGGCTTTCATGTATGTATTTATCTCATTGAATTCTTCCAATTACCCTGTAAGATAGGTTTTATCCCCAGTTTACAGACAAGGTATAGCGAGGTTAAATATTAGCTTATCTGAGAATACACTGATGGTAGTAAGTGGCAAAGACAGAAACTTTCTGCCTATATTCTTTTCATATTGTGGCCCAGTGACTGCTTCTTTTATAGCCTTCTTTCTTAGTCATCTTGCATCCTAATATTCAAACCATATCTTTATTCCGTATCTTTACTTGTAGTTCTTTGCTCGTTCCTTGATAACTATTCTCCCACTCTGAAATATCTTAAGATCTTGTCATCTTTCACTCATCTTCACCATCAAATATTTTTATTTATACATGTTCATCTCTTCATAAATATTTAAACTTCTCTTTTATTTTTCCGTGCTTGAATTGTCTAGAGCTTAGGGTATTTTTCAAAGTAAATTGCTATCAGCCTTCTTGAGAGCTATCATCTTCCACATGAACTTACATGAATACTCTGAAATTATTGGACATAGGCTTACCCTGCTGTAGAAAATTCCATGTAACATTGTACTTCTTAATTTCTATTTTCACTACAGCAGTGAAAACGTGGTATGCAACCCTAGCTGCATATTAAAATCAACTGGGATCTTTAAAAAAAAAAAACCTTATTTCTAGGCCCTAACTCAGTGATCCTGATTCAATCTCTTTGATTCTAATGCTCATGCAGGGCTGAGACCCACTGTTGTGGGCACTGATAAACCACTGAAGAGTTTTGAGCAAGAACTGATAAGACCAGGTTTAGTAGGTAGCCCTGGTGGTCTGTGTTAAAGATGGCTGTAAAGCCCCTGTGAAGGAGAAGGAGGTACGGGGCACACCTCAGTGGAGGCTGATGCAATCGCCCAGGTAAGTCCAGATAAGAGATGAAAAGCCTGAAATAAGCAGAGGAGGAGAGAGACTTTTAAAGTAGGATTTGGTGTCATCAATATTGCAGGCAAGTGGGAGACAGATTAAGGATGACCAAGAGGTTCTTGTGTTAGTGGTTCAGGGTAGGGCTTTTCAGCTCACATCCTACATTATCCCCTCCTAGGTTCTAAACCCTGGATTCTGTACACATGAGGGAATAAAAATGGGATGGGTAAACAAAGGATTATTTTATTAGGAGCTGAGCAGTCACCTGATGATGCCCAATAAAGTACTCCATTGTAAAAATGACTTGTGGAATAAAGCTTGGGCCATGTGGGCTCAAGTTCCTTCCCATCTTATATGGTCTGACTTTATTCTGTCTCAGGAAGAGGAATATGTGAGGAGGAGAGGAGAGGAGAGGGGAAGGGAGGGGAGTGAAGGGCAGGGCAGGGCAGGGCAGGGGAGCGGAGGGGATGGAGGGAAAAGAGGTCCACCTGGACCAAATCAGCCCAGATCAACTTGTCACAAAAAGGCAGGAAAGAGTGGAGACGGGATAGCCCTTAAGGAGTGTTTACCACGGAAAATAGAAGCTAGCGACTCCTTGCAACTTCTCCCTGATGGTCACTGTTGCTTACTATTGCATTTGACACAGAAACTCATTTAATTTTCACAACAGCTCAAGGAAGTAGACATTATCAGCATCCCCATTTTACAGATAAGGAAACAGAGTCATAGAAATATGTTAAATAACTTGTCTAGATTCTACAGTGGCAACATTGAACCCAGGAGAGAAAAGGAAGAAGGTAAGGCTTCAAGAGACAGTCTCTTTTTTGTTGCCTGGAACTGGGAACAAAAGAAAAAGTTGTTCAGAACATGGACCTGTAGGACACGGTAACCTCACCTGTCAGTAAAATGTGATTTAATCAATATTTCAGGCTCTGAGCAAATCCTAGAGCATCACCACCTAATCTAGGGCAGTGTTAGGGAGCTAGGATGATGGTCCAATGCATGGAGAGAGGGGACCGAAGCTTCCTCTCACACTATCTTCTATGTGCAGTCTAGTAAATAATGATGCTACACATGGAGACAGGGCATACTCAGGAAAGGGAAATGATTTGGCAAAATGTGAAAAGAAAAGATGACTTTTTGACATGGAGAATGCATGGGTAAGGATAAGCCATTGGAACTGCAGAGTTGGAAATTTGGAGAATGTTCTGGACCAGAGCCGAATTTAGGAGACTTCATTGTATAGTTTGTCCCTTCAGACTGCTTTCAAGGACCTTTTTTATTTTATAGCATTAGCCTAGTTCCCAGAGCATGGTGTTTCTACCTCATTAACTATTGTTGATAGCAGCACAGAGTGAGAGACTCACTGCGGTATTTTGTCACCTCTGTGATGGTCTGTGCCTTTCGAGGATCATAAAGTAGGAAGAACAGCACGCCAAAAATTACCTTAAGGTTACCTGAGCCAAATGACTACCTACTTTCTGTTAAATCCTCTGCTTTTATTTTTAATTGTGGTAAATTATAGGTAACAGAAAATTTACCATTTTAACTGTTTTTCAGCATGCAGTTTAGTTACATCCATTTTGCTTTTAGTCTACTCTTGTTTTTTTTTTCTTTCTCAGTCCCTGTAGTGGACCAAATGAGTTTATATTCCCTCTGCAAGTGTACCCTGAAAAATTTACTTTGTACCTACTTTCCCTTAGAATCATAACATTTTGGAAGCTGAAAGAGCTTTTAAGATTAACCTAGTTTCATCCTTGTTACAGGTAAGGAAACTAAAGCACTGAGAACTTAAAGTGACTTGCCCAGGGTCATAAGGAGTATTTGGGACAAGGCTGGATTCAGTTCCCTGTATTCCATGTCTGGTTCCCCCCCGCCCCCCCATTTCTTAAGCTGCTCATGATACTGAGCCTCACTGATTTTACTCCTTCACGCCCCATTATTTTCTTCTCTTTTGAGACATTTCGGTTCTTCTAGGGTAAACTTTATGTATTATAACCCTTTTGTGCCTTGCATGACATTTTGCATTTGTATATTATCAATAAATGCTTATTGAGTGAATATTTCCTAAACTTCCAATCATTATTATCTTCCTCTCTCCTCTTTCTTAGAGTAATGCATCCTATTAAACTTTAAAGAAATCCAAAAAATCTAGCAGATTGGCAAAATTTTTTAATTTATTTTTTTCAGTTTTTGTATAAATAATAGTTCTGCGTTAGGCATTCTAATCCTATCCTGTCTGCTGGGTCCAATAGTCTTGCTTGTCTCAGGGTTTCAGAAGAGGAGGAACAAGCCAAATGCTACTCTAACTTTTGACAAATTGGATATTTGGAGTTTGACACACTGAGCGTTGACTGAGATAAGAGATGTATAGAGCTAAAGGAGGTAGGATTTGAGGGAAAAAAATAGAACCTGGATATAATTTCATTAATTTCTAGGTGAGGGCTGTACGCATAAGATTTTTCCCCCCATCTTTTTATTTTGAAACATTTTACCATATTCATACTCCATACTCTTCCTCCCACTCATGTTTTTGTTGACTTTTTTTTTTCTTCAAAACCAAAGTAAGCCTTTCTGCCTTGCTCAGTAAGGCTCCAGGTGTGAAATTCAAACATGCTCGGGAACTAAAATCTGTCCCCCTATTTGACCAGTAGTGAATGAAACTGAGCAAAAGCTCTTACTTAAGTCAAACTAAACTTTGTGATGTGAAGGCAAAATGAGCACAATTCAATAATTAGCAAATCATCTTTCTCCCCCTTAGGCAACAGGCCCTGACTGGTTGCCGATCTTGGTGCCTGCGATCCACCGTCCCTGTGTGCCTTCACCTGATTTGAGTCGCCTCCTGTTTGTGATTAGATTTGTCTGCTCCTCCTCTCTTAAAATAGCAGTTTTGAAGGCACTCACTTCAGTCGCTCAGTCATTTTAAGATTTTATCGGTGGTTCTCTTCCTTACTAATAGGCTTACTTTCCCTCTAGTGATTGCTCCCAACTCTAGGCTTATAAAAGCTTTCCTCATCCCCCTTATCATTCACTTCATTAATGGGATTTCCTTCTATGGACTGCCTCCCCCCACCCCACCCCTACCCGCTGTGGAGCCATTAAATTACTGAGTGTATTCTTTTAGCCTATTTTAATTTCATGGACCACATTTTTTTTTCTCATCTGAAAATAGGTATATTGCTTCTTGCATTTGAATTTTAGATTTTTATTTTATTTATTTTTTTAGGAGATTGTATTTTTAATTATATTTGCCCTAGTTCTTCATTGTCAGTGCTTGTACCATATGGGAAGTCCCTAGGATAACAGTCCTGGTTTCTACCTATCTTATCATCTTACTATTCTCCTTTTCTCCCCTGCAGCTTTTCACCCTCTCTAATGCTTTTGGAAGCCAATCCTTTTGGCCTATATGAAAATATGTCAGGGTCTTGTTTTACCTGTCATGTTTCTCGTGTATACTTTGCCTATATCCCAGAGGGCTGGGAAATGGCTTATGATTAAAAAGAAACAAAACCCCCACATGTCCAACAGGACTGTTAAAAATAGTCAGAAAAGGAAATCAGAAACCATTTCAAGGAACCTGGAACACGACGTACTTAACAAACGTAAGAAGAAAATTCCTATAAAAAGTGAAAGAAGAACCTAACCTTTTAATTATACAAGGGCTTTGCCATTTTAGACTAGTAGTGAAAGAAGATTATAATTGTGGTCTCAATGTTTCTGTGTAGTAACAGATTTACTGACAGTATCTCTCACTTTTATCCCCCAAGAATTTTTTTGTTTTAAAATAGAGAACTGAAGGGGGTTTTTGGTTAGTCCCCAATTACTGCCTTTCATTCAAATTTACCACAAATAGCTACTATACTGAGGGTGCCAAAAAAATGTATACACATTTTAAGAAAGGAAAAAACTATTAAAATTGTAATACTCAATATATATTGATAACAAAAGATGAATACAAGTCATGTGTATACATTTTTTTGGCACCCTCGGTATATTGATTGATTACTTGCCATGTACTGGACCAGCTAGGGGCTAGATATGCATTATCTCATTTAGTCCTCATCATTAGGCTGTGAAATAGGTGATATTACAGTAGTCCCCCTTATTCACAGGGGATACCTTCCAAGACCCCAACGGTTGCCTGAAACCATGGAGAGAGTACCAAACCCAAATATATTTGGTTATCGGAAAAGTCATGACATATTTTTTCTGTTTTTCGTTGCAAAAATGCGTCATGACTTTTCCGACAACCCAATACTATGTTTTTTTTCCTATATACACATACCTTTGCACTTAAAGGAAGTACTTGATGGCTTCTCTGTGGCATCCTTGAATTGCCAGCATCACTACTCTTGCACTTTGGGGCCATTGTTAAGCAAAACAGGGAATAAGCAGTGTGATACCACGACAGTCGATCTGAAAACCAAGATGGCTATTAAGTGAATAACAGGACAGGTGGCGTATACAGAATGGATACGCTGGACAAAGGGATGATTCACATCCCCGGAGGGTTGGGGCGTGGAGCGCAATTTCATCATGCTATTCAGAACAGCATGCAGTTTAAAACTTATGAATTGTTTCTGTCTGGAATTTTCCATTTAATATTTTCAGACCACAGTTGACTACAGGTAACTGAAACCATGGAAAACAAAGCCTTGGATAAGAAACCTCAGTACTCTGTTAGGGATGAGGAGGAAACAGTCTAAGTAAGTAATTGGATCAGTCACACAGGTAGTAAGTGATAGCGCGAGGGTTTGAATCCAGGTCTTTCTGGATTCCCTTTCTATTACTCTGTGATGCTTTTTGTTAAAGAACTGTATTGCAAATGTTCGCCATTAAACCTCCTAATATTGACCTCCACTTCCAGTTTTTGCTCAGTTGTAGGGGTTCCTATTTTGAGGTTCAGGGATATGCTTGCAAACTGGCATGCTGATTTGCACATGTGTATGTACGTAGGGGATTAAATATTTTTTTTCTCATGTCTTAGTATTGGCTTGAAGTTCTGAGATGGGACTAACTTCCCTGCAGCATCCCTGGAGAAGTCAGGAGAGAAGGGGAGGGGCAGTAGGGTGAGGGCGAATGAGTAAGTCCTGACCACTGTATGCTTAATCCTAGTTCTAGCAATTAGCTGATGCTTTGAGGCAGAAGGGTACTAACATTTATTGAGACAGACACTACATTTATTATCTCATGTGATTCTTGCAGCAGCCTTTGTGGTAAGTGATTGCAACCCCATTTTGTATGGGTAAACTGAGGCACAGGGAAGTAAGCAAGTTTGTCCAAGATCCCACAAGTAGAAAATGGAGTCATCAGTGTTCCACTGATCAATGCAAGTTTATCTGACCCCAGAGCCCATGGGTCTTCGAAGCCCTTAGAGCATGTTCTCATTTCTAACAACAATAATAGCTGATAGTGATTGAGCTCTTGCTATGTGCCAAGCAGGATTCCTACCACTTTACTGGATTATTTCATTTAATCCTTACAGCAACCTTATGAGCTACCATTCTCTCCATTTGACAGGTGAGTACATTGAGGCACAGAGAGCTAAAGTAACTGGGCAAGGATCAAAGAACGAGAGAGCAGCAAATCAGGGATAGCCTCTACTCCAAATCTATTTTCTTACAAAGTATAATTTCAAGAAGTTTCTTCTAGCTAGAGCTACACTCCCTACTCTTCTACCCTCACTTTCCTTACCTGCACGATAAAAATACAGAAGTTATTTTGGAAAAAAAAAGTTTGTTTGCCTTTTTAGGAAAGTATGCTTAACGGGGAAATACTTTTCCCTGAGGAATTGCATGAGAACAGTATTCACCACTGTAGGCCCGAGATGTAGCAGGGCTGCATAGGTAAGTACTACTCATAATACTTGGCTCTGATGAGTGACACAGTGATAACTTCTGCCTGCGTTAGCCACTTTAACAAAGATAACAAAAACTCAACCTGTTAATGATCAAGTTGCAAGAATATTTCTTACCCCCAGTCTTTTCTGCCATTTCAGTCAGCTTATCAGTAGTGAGTTACTTGGCTTCCCTTTCTCCTGTCCCGTAGCCTGCAGGGGAGTATAGGCTTTTGTTGCTGTATTTTGGTCATACTTGAATCAACAAGCATGATGCACGTTTGATCTACCACTTGCCTTTGGCACTGTGAGGACGCCTATTTCCGTGAAATGAAGGGACCTTTGCAGCACGTACACCCAGTGCCTCACTCTCCTTGAGTCTTCCGTATTAAGATCATGGCCGGGCTTCATGGTGTAATTCTTTGGCTTGGATACAGCTTTATTGCAGGAAGCAAACAGAAGTGTGGTGTGCACTGAAGTGATAATAATTTAAAACCCACATACATATTGTTCTTGGAATTTTTTTTCTTTTGTCCATCACTGTGATTCATGTAATAAGACTCCTTTACAATCAAATAAAACTAAAACATGAAGAAAGCTGGGCTGGATTCTATGCACTGATCTTGACTAGCTTCCATGGCCTTGGAAAACATATTTTAACCTCTCTGGGCCTCAGTTTCTTCATCATGAGGATTAGCGATAATGTATGGTAAGCATCCAATACAGAGCCTGGCATTGCGCAGATGTTCAATACAGAGAAGCTGCTTTATTATTATGAAATGCAAAGAGGATCTTATGATGTAACAGCTTAGAGATGTGTTTTGTTATGGTAGTAAATGGTGTTTCCCTTGGACATCTTTGTGCTGCTGATGTGAAACCCAAGGAAAACAGTGGAGTAGTGTTTGCAACAAGGAAAGATAGCTCTTTGTTCCCTTCAACAGACAAAAGAAGGTCATTATCGTATCAAGTAGTGACTGTTGCTATTGAAATGGTTTATTTGTATGTTTTTTTCTGTTTTTTTTTTCCCTAGGGATTTATTTGTGGCTTTTCAGTAGCAACAGGTGCAGCCGCGAGACTAGTGTCAGGATACGACAGCTATGGAAATATCTGTGGGCAGAAAAATGCAAAGTTGGAAGCAATACCAAACAGTGGCATGGACCACACCCATCGGAAGTGAGTAGACTATTGCTGAATGATGGACGTATGGAAATTTTGACGTTGGGGGAGAAAATCCTGCTTTTCTTACTGTTACAAAGATAATATCTCACTGAATGTTATTTTCACATGACTCTTGTTGGTGTTTTGTGTTTTTTTCTTTAACTCTCCACTTGAATCATTCCTGGTCTATATATACTTTTTCCAGGAAACAGAATTAGCATCCCTGTAAAAAATGGGCTACCTTGAGGGTGGTAATGGGTAAAGGCTTGATTTGAGAGAGTTGCTGTTGTACTTTGTTTTTTCATTAGCTTTTAGGTTGTACACTAAGTTTTAACCCAGAAAATAGCATGATATTTTTCTTCCAAGATTATACTTGATGGGAGACAGAGGGATGATAATGGATTTTGAAACATTAAAGTTATAATGAAACACTTTGTAATGCATCATTTATGAGTACACATCAATCCAACTATAGAAGGTGCATTTCCTTTGTCAGACTTTAAAATTTGTTTTGAATTCTTAAGGTTCATCATTTGGATTTCATGAACTTCCTGACTTAAATGCCTTTTTTTTTTCAAAAGAGCTATTATTTCATTTTTAATGTCTCTGGGGAAAATATATTTCATCAGACATGTTTTATGTTCATATATTTCTTTACACTGTATATTTATGCCCTCATCAAACTTTATTAGACAGGTTTAATAAGTAAAAATAGGTCTTCAGAATTAACCAAACTAATTTTAAGGTAACAGTTTAGCCAATTCAATTAATGAACTTCATAGGAAAAGGCATAGCAGAATAAAAACATTTTTTAGGCTATATTTCTATTATGAAGCATTTTCCAGGACGTAGTAACTTTATTTATTATTAGATAAATCTGTTGGTTAAATCTGGGTTTCCCTGGAAAGTATAACATTAATTTGATAATTTCACAAACGTGAAGAAATCCAAATAGTTAATCATATCTCAGAGATATTCCTCCATTTAGTGAAGGAGTAATGAAGTTCAAATAAGTCAAATTTTAAGTAATAGTGTATATTTGTATAGCACACCATTGTCAGCAAGTATAGGAGGCCACTCTGTGAGGTGAGTGTAGCACATGAGAGAGACTGAACTGACTTTCCTAAAAGTCTGGTGGGCAGTGGAATATCCAGTGCAGACCATGAGCTTTTCTCTTGCATGTACCTGCATCTCTTGACAAGAGAAGTGAAAATTGAACTCGTAGAGAATAACTTGGAGGATTGTTTCATTTCTCCTTCTTTTTGATTGCCTCATGAAATTAACACACATTTTAGGCCTTGTGTCATTTCTTGTAGCAAGACTACCCATCTATTTTTTGCTTGCTTTTTTCTAAAGATTTTTATTGGGGAATTGGGGGGATGGGAACAGCGCTGGGGAATTGGGGGAAGGGGAACAGACAAGTTGCTGTCCTTTTATTCCTCAGTCCAGCCGTGGAGGACGTTGCCTCACTGGCCCAAGTTGGCACCATCATTGCGCTCTTCCCAGGCGAGGCAGATCAGTCGCAGGCCTCTGGACGGCCACCCACACTGGCCGCTGGCCACACACAGTAGCCCATGGCAAACCCCCTGCAGAGGGGCTGCAGCCTACGCTGTAGCCGGCGACCCATGGCAGCCCAGCTCCAGGTTGAGCTGTGTTCAGCATCCCAGCTGCAGAGGGCAGTGTCACTGGCCCTCACATGTAGGATCCGAACCAGGGCTCCCGGGTGTCCCAAGCCAGCTCCCAACCAACGCACCACTTGGCCGGCCCTATTTTTTGCTTTCTTTACTTTTGATTTTGAAATAATTTTACATTCAAATAGAAGTTGCAAAAATAGTGCAGACTTCCATGTATCTTTTTTTTTCTTTGTAGGTAGTGTTCCTGCTGTCAAATATGGTTTAACTCTTTAATGCTGTTGACATGTGCAAAACATAAAATATTACCAGTTAGATACTTGGGGAAATAGGAGGAAAAGGGCTCCACTCACTCGGGTCTACTTCTCACATGAGACTGTAATCATTTTTATAGCCCCCTTTATAACTTGCCGATGACTGCAAACATAGTCTCATCATAAGGTTTGTGTAAATGTCACTCTTCACACTTAACCTAATGGAGGTTCATTTGGTCAATTTTTAATTTCAAACCATTGGATTATGCAGTGTACATTTTGATCTCTTGCAAAGACAGCCTGCTTATTACTCCAAAAAGGGAGCTGACTTTTCCCTGACTGCTTAGCATAGTCGGAGCCATTGGTGGATTAGCTGTAGGGGAAAGTTGCCCAAGTATAGTGATACCCTAACTCATGTTTAAAATTTATTTTTTATCTCGACTTCCTTATTCTTTGCATATGAGCATTTTGGTACTCACCCATCTAAGTGTTTCTATCTATAAATGGTAATTAAAAAAAAATGAATGGTATATTTTTGAACATCCCTTTCTCAGGTAAGTCTATTTGGATTTGAAAGGAGACAGAAAATGTCTGTGTTTGTTACTTTTACAATATCCTCTTTTTTTTTTTGCCAAGTGCATTGGTTTCCTCCTTTTCTACTCATTTCCTCATACATCTTTGGCTTTATTATCAGTACTAGGCCCGTCTGTAGCTATGGAATTTTTTTATACCTGTTTGGTCTGCTGTTTCCTCAGCTTGACCTTGATTACCTTTTCCCATCCCTCATCCTCAGCCCCTATTACCTGGTACTTACTAGGCCCTTTATACATATTTGTTGAATAAGTTAATGAATGAATCCTCTAAAATCTTGAATACAATTAATGCTTTCTTGCTTTCATGAGTATTATTTCCTCTATCAGGAAAAATAAAATTTTCTCATTCTTCATGTGGCTAAATTCTATTCATTCTTCAGTTTTCTGTATATTACTTTCAAGAAAGGTCTTTTTGGATCTCACAACTTGAATCAGGTATTTAAAAATACTCCCTCATCGTGTCCTATAATATGTGTAATTATACATTTATTTTGTGACTATTTGTTAATTATTTGGCTCTTCTAAGTTCTATGAGAGCAGAGGTGACGTCTGTTTTGTTCACTGCTATATCCTCAGTACCTAGAACATAGTAGGCACTCAACTAAATGTTTGTTGAATGGTAGATAAATTTATTTCCTTAGAATATGTTCTAAGAAGTGAATTACTGAGTCTGAGGATCTAATATTTTAAGATTATTAATGCATATTGCTGAATGGCTTTCCATCAAAGGTGGTTCCATTTACATTCCCACCAACAGTGTCTGAGATTGCTAGTATTACTAGTTTTTATTTTTTACTAATTCATCAACCAAAAAATGGTGCTTTATAGCTTTAATTTGCGTGTCTTTAATTATTCATGAGCCAGAACCTCTTCTCCCCCGTGTTCATTAGCCTCTTATGAAGACTATTGTGCTAGCATATCTGTTCTTGATCTTCTTATCTCTAAATTTCTCCATCTGTTATACTGTCATAGGATTATGTTCTTTAAAATACTTTATTGTCATTTCCCTTCCTTTATTTTAGTGTTTCCTGTATGTTGAGGGTGAGCCCACTCAGCCCCCACCATTCCAGGCGTTTGTGATTTAGACCCACTGTACCTATTCAGTCTCCTCTCACTGTTCCTCAGTTTTGTAGTTGTATTGTCCACGCTATTCAGTTGATTCTACCTCTGTGCTGTTCCCTGTCCCTCTCTGCCAGTCTGAATTCTTAAAAGACTTAAGGTTGGTCCCATAACAAACCACTTTATCCCATAGTGATCTTTCCTTTATTACCTGAACTTTCCTATCTCACACTCCTTTTTGTATTGCCTCTAAGTTGTTCTCTAATTATTTTTAATCTGCCTGTATTAATTATCAGTTGCTAGATAACAATATTACTATGAACTTAGTGGCTTAAGACCACATTTATTATCTCAGTTTCTGTGGGCCAGGAAGGAATCTGGATATGGCTTGGGTGGGTCTCCTGTTTCAGAGTCTCTCTCTCACAGGCTTCAATTAAGGTGTTAGCTCTACTGGGGATGTTCCCCTTCCAAGTTCATGCGGTTGCTGGCAGCGCACAGTCCTTGAGGATTGTTGTACTGAGAGCCTTCGCTCTTCACTGGCTGTCAGCTGAAGGACACCCTCAGTGCCTGCTGGGTGGGCCTCTCCGTATGGCAGCTGACTTCAAAACGAGCAAGGAAGGGCATCAACAGAGAGTGTGCTAGTAAGATGGAAGCTACAGTCTTATATAATGTATTTATGAAAGTGGTATCTTGTCACCTTTGCCATAGTCGACTGTTCAGAAGCAAGTTGCAGATCCTACCAAAACTCAAGGGTGGCAAACAAAGGCTGTTAAAGAAGGGTAGGATAATTAGGACATTTTAGAAGCTGTCTGCCATACTGCCCAACCCTGTCTCCCTGGAGCACCATGTGTTGTATAACTCCCAGGTTTGAGCACCCAAAAGTAACTTCATAAGAGCTTATTGAATTGTGATAAAGTAGGAAAGAGGCAAGTCAGGGCGGAAACAGGAAGGGAAGTGCTTTTGACCTCTTCTAACCAGGAAATAGGATGCCAAGATGACTATAATGATTCTATTAGTGGTAAAGAAAAGGCAATATTTTATTTTCTTATAATTCTAATTGTAATGTATTCTTTTTTCCAGATAATATTCTTGACCTGATAATATATTTATTATAGTAATAAGCATGTATAGGAAAATGGCAAACAGTATTTTATGAGAAATAGGAAGACCCCAACTTCAAAGAGATTATGTTCCCAAAATTGATCTTTAAGTTGTTTGTTTGGGATGTATAAAACTTTTCTGCATAGGAACAATGCTGTGAATAAGTCTCTGAGGCTGGGTCAGTTCAGAAAAGCTCATTTATCTTACTTAGAACCATCAAGTGCCAGAGATGAAAGGGCTCTTTAAGATGACATAACCTGTAGCCTCCTTAATGCATCCCATCAAATTTTTGTGAGTGTCAGCTAAGACCCGGAGAAGAAAATGACTTGTTTTGTAGCTGAGCTCTGGTGGATGGCAGTAATGGTACATACGACATG